TTATGAAAGTAGTATTGGTACTAGGGTTGGGAGCACAGTATCCCAAGGCATGCCTAAGAGGCATGTCCAGGAAGGTATGCCTAAGGAGCATACCTAGGAAGGCATGCCTAGGATATGCTCTTTGGCTAAAAGATATACCTTTATTCTTTTATATAGAAAAACCTTAAGTATGAAGTTTCGTTGATTTGATTGGTCAATTATCATAGTTTATTTAATATAAGTTAGGTTAATCAATTATAATATCTAGAGAGGGCATGCCCAAGGCATAGAAAGGCATGCCTTTGACAAAGGCATGCCCTTCTAGGTATGCCCAAAAAATTTTCTGTGCTCCCAACCCTACTCTGGTAGTACTTATTCCATTCTCATAATATAATCTAAGATTGCTTTGTTCATAATTATCACCTCTTTAGCAGATTTTGAAAACCATTTAAATACTTTCTTTTCATCTCTGACAATACTTATGTCATTCTAATAACAGAATTCAAGATAACTTGCTCACAGGAATTGCCTCCTTTAGCAGATTTTAAATACCTTCTTTTCGTCCCTAATAGTACTTATGCTATTCTCATAACATAATCTCAGATTATATTGCTCATAAGGATTACTATATTCAGCAGATTTTGATACTATTCAAATGCTTTCTTTTTGTCTCTGATAGTACAGTAAGTAGCAAAAGTAATGCCCGATTTTTAACAAAATAAAAATTATTAATTTATTTTATTTTTACTTTATATAAATGAATTTTTTTTTTTATTTAACTAATATTTGGTCAAATGACCAGATATATTTGCTACTGCGTTGATTCTTCAGGGCATTGATTCTACAACTGCCTGAAGAATCGACATATCAAGATTTGCTCACGCCTCTTTTAAGGCTGATTTAAGCTGATCCTTATCTCTTGAAAAGTTTTCACAACTTTGTATATTGTCTTTTAGAACCTTCTAGATATTTTTTATGAGGTTTAGATCTGGTAATCTCAATAGCCACTTGATATATTTGATGTTATTAGTTTCAAACCAATCTATAACCTTATGAATAGGACAATTGTCTTGTTGAAATATGATATTTGAACCTATTAATAAACATGCAGAAGCAATAAATGGCAGAAGATGGTCTTTCAAGACCTTAGTATAGATTATTTTATTAATTCTTTGCTTAGGTTTTAAATAATCATCAAAAAAAATCAAAGGACCTTTAACCTCCCCAAAAAAACATCCCCACACTATTACTGAAACCTTTCCACTCTTAAAATTCAGCAACAAACATTCATGTTTATATTTTTTATCTGTATAATGCCACACTCTAACTTGACAGAATTGTTTGCTAACTTCCATACTCATTTCAGCAGAAAAATAACTTGCTGCCACTTATAAATGTTCTTTTTTTTATATATATCACACCATTCTTTGCATCTATTTATATTATCAGCAGACAAAAACAGCTTCTTTACAGCAACTCAGAACTGAACCCCAAAGCTGTGAAGAGTTCTAGCTGCAGTTGACATACTGCATTAAAGGCCTAACTTATTGACAATGTTACGTAATGGCTCACACCTTTCCTTCATAGCCTTTTTTAATAAGGCAGTCTTTTCTCTCTTATTGAGAGCAGAGGGATATCTGGGTCGTAGTAAATTTTCAATTTTTTTGGTCTTCTTGTACTTCTTTAAAAACCTTCATACTGTTGTTGGGTTACAGCCAATTTTATAGGCAACTTGCTTAGCACTCATATCATTGATATAAGCAAGGATCATTCCTTTGTCTTTTTCAGTCATTTGGGTGCGTGGCATATTTCATAAAAAAAAAAAATTTTTTTTTTATTAGGTTGGTTTTTTGAAGTCCAAGAAGCAAAAATAAAAAAAAAATTGCCTCCCAAAAAACGGTAGAATGGAGCAAACACAGCCTATTTATTTGTCCACGTGTGTTTATTTGCAAATCGGGTGTTATTTTTGATGCCCACTGTACCTATGCTATTCTCATAACATAGTCCGAGATTATTACTTTCAGCAGATTTTGAATACCATTCAAATGCCTTCCTTTCGTCTCTGACAGTGCCTATTTCATTCTCATAACATAATCCAAGATTACATTGTCCATAAATATCACCACCTTCAGCAGATTTTAAATACCATTCAAATGCTTTCTTTTCGTTTCTGATAGTACCTATTCTATTTTTATAACAGTTTCCAAGATTACATTGTCCACGGCTATTGTCGCTTTCAGCAGATTTCAGATACCATTCAAACGCCTTTGTGATATTTCTTGTAGTGCCTATGCCATTTTCATAACAGAATCCAAGATTACATTGTCCTTGTGAATCACCACCTTCAGCAGATTTTAAATACCATATAAATGTCTTCTTTTCATCTCTGATAGTGCCGATACCATTCTCATAACAGAATTCAAGATTACATTGCCTACAGGAATTATCACCTTTAGCGGATTTTAAATACCATTCAAATGCCTTGTTTTCGTCTCTAATAGTATCAATGCCATTCTCATAGCAGAATTCAAGATTATATTGTTCTTGTGGATTACTATCTTCAGCAGATTTTAAATAACATTCAAATGACTTCTTTCTATCTTTAGCTATGCCTATGCTATTCTCATAATAATGTCCAAAGTTTTATTGTCTATTGTAGTGATTTGAACTAAGAAAAAATTCCTTAGTTGGGTAACCGAACCGAAATATTTAATGTCAACTGATTGCAACCGATTAAAATTACTTCATACTTTTACCTTCAGAAGTTCTCAGATCTTTACTCAAATTTTTATGTTTATTTTTTTTTTTTTTCAGAAGTTCTCGGACCCCTTGCTCCTTCTTGATGTAATTTACATCCTATCAACTGATTACCGATACTCAACCAGTTGTACGGGTCAACCGATTAAGAATTTACTCAGCCGGTTACCCGAAATTTATTCAATTCAGGTCAGTTAACCGATTATAGCCCAACTGGTTCAAATCACTAGTCTATTGTAATTATCATTTTCAGCAGACGGGGTCTGTGCTCTGAAAATTACCTTACATAATATAGTAATTATTAGTGTTGCCACTAGAAAACCACTGGAAGGCCACTAGAAGCAAAATTAATAGTGTTATTGGAACTTTTACTATTATAAAATCCCACCGGAAAGCCAGAAAACCCTATTGGAAACAAAAATTCGCAAAACTGGTAATTTGCCATTTTCAAGATAAAGACTCCATATTTGAAATACCATTCAAACATTTTCTTTTGAAATTAGCTAGGTATTGCCTATTTGTACCTTCAACTCAGTTACATCCTCAGCCATTTTAAATTATATTCTGAGAGAAAAATTACTATCGCTAAGCTTTTAGTTAAAAATTTTAAAACTGTAACTTCGTCGATTTGTGTAACTTATAAAAATCATATGATAAACTTTTAGATGTGACAAATCGGGTGCCTGATACCAGATACGTATTGCCGGGTGGGCGATGACTTCATTCATAGTAAATTAACTCAAAATTTTTATGTTTTTTATATGATTGATCGTTCGTGATCTGTCATCGTTTTCATATTTTTAGACTAGAATAGTGCTCTAAATTAAATTTAATGATTGATACTAGGGATGTTATGTGGTCCGGTCTGGAGAAGATCATAATAAACTAGACCAGGACTGGACCAAGATAGACTAGACCGGACTGTTAACATCCCTAATTGATACATTCTATTTTTGTTATAATATGAAATAACAATAAAAAATTTAGCGATCAATGAAGTTAAGTAATTTGTCACTGTGTGTGCATTTAACACTATGATGCAAGCTTGGAACCAGGCTTACGGGTCATCATGGAGGGTACACACTTAGGGAGGTCTGATAATATTAATAAATGAATAAGAGTGTTCCAAGTGAAACAAAAATAGTTAAGATTTTTTATAATAATTTATTTTTAGAATTCTTGGTTTTCACTTGGATGGTAAGCGACAAGAATCGTGTCAAATATTTTCGACCTGTTAGAAATTAAACATGTGATACGATTTTAAATTTTCATTATTATTAATATTAAATGTCGAGGTAGCAAAGAAAATATCTCATAACGACTTTAAATCCCGTCATTGATCAATAGTCATAATTCACAATTACAATATGCAAGTCAAGTATCCTTTATTAATTTATTATCACAAAAAAATATATTAAATATGATTAACGCCAATCTCTTTTTCCAATACCACTCTTGGAGCTGTATAAATGCTTAGGTTTCTTAGATTTAATACTTCTATCAGATTCACCAATTTTAGCATGTAAATTAGGTTTTCGTTGTGCGAGTTTCTTTTGTTTTTCACTTTCGATCTTTTTCTATATAATGATTAAAAACTCGGTATGAGTTAAACGTGTCACGATTTTTTTTTTTTCAAACAGAAAAAATAATTACCTTAATGTTCATGCCAGAACTACTACGATCACGAGACACAGATGCGTTTCTCGCAGTGCTCAACGAGTCTCGAACGATTTCTACACCGACAGATTCAGATCGTTTGCGTTTTCTTGTCTGACTACGTGCACGAACTGCATTCGTATCAAGGCCTAGTTGACCTAACCTCTCTTCCATTTCATCGATGGACTATGAATAATAAATAATAATTAAAGACGTGTAATGAATGCACCCTATTAATATTAGAAGACCATTTTTCTGTTTACCCTTTTAGTAGCCTTTCTCGGCATAATTGGTCGGTTTTTCATCATTTTTCTTGCTCTATGTGCCTGTACAATCAATTTCTTTTTTTCACGGATCGCTTCAGCGACTTTATTCATTTCTTCCTCTTCGGAATCTATCTATTAGTTAAATATGATCAAACGTTACGTGAATATAATTTTAAAAGGTCCAGTATTCTTTAAAGGAAAAATTCCTACCATATCTTCCCCTGAATTGTTATATTCATTAGCCTCTAAGCGCTCTTCTTCACGCTCTAGAATATCTAGCTTTTCTTCAATTTCTGGATCAATAAAATCGGCAATGTTTTTGCCATTTATAACTTCTGGAATTATATCATTTTTCCAGTCTGGATTTCTAAGTTCGTACATTTCTATTTAAAACAATATAAAATAAAATAGAGAGTCAATAAATAAGGTAACAAATCATGGATAATTATTTAATTAACTTACTCTTAAGATTAATATTATATACGCCAGGACCACCACCTTCTGCCTCCAAATCCCTTTCCAATTTAGGCCTTTTAGGATCATTAATGTCAAACTTAGGTCGACTTTTCACTCCTTCGGGGATATGAGGGGGACGCGGTATATCATCACGTGCGACCGGTTCAGCGAGATGAATCTTGTTAATAACATCATTTATTTTTGAACCTTTCAGCTTGAAATCAACACGAGCTGCTAATAATTTGTCGCATGCCTATAATTTCGGTACATACATAACAATATATTTATTACATTTAACTAAATAAAATAAAAAAAGCACGGGTGAAAAATTTAATTCTCTTGACTTACCAAATTTCTCACATCCATCACACCTTCGTCAGTATGACAACTCAATTGAACTATCTGAACATCATCCTTTTCACTAATTTCTTTTAGCATTGCTTGTTCTTCAGCCGGTATATCTTCAGGTCTTGTGACATCAATTTTATTTATGACAATAAATGTTGGTTTATTGACAAAAAGTGGTTTTACGTTTTGATATAATGTTATCTTTTTTTTTTAAAAAAAAAGATAGTATAAATATACATAAAAAATCCGATTCATTAAAAAATAAAATTAAAACAAATCGTACCTGTTCGGTGACACTATACCCACATTGTTCTGAAAGATCCATAAAAAACATGATACACGCGCGAAGATGCGCTAGGGCCGTGACAGATTGCATTTCAATGGTGTTCATCTGCTCAAGAGGACGATCTAATATACCAGGGGTATCAATTACCTAATAGAAGGATGTTATTATGAATATCATAAAAAGTAAATTAACAAACTTTAAAAAAGTAATAGGATGTATTTATTCACCTGCCATCTTAGATATCTATAATCCGTATGACCAACGAATAACGATTTTGTAGTGAAAGCATAAGGTTGTACATCAACATCTGCTCTAGTAACCTTATTCATGAAACTAGATTTACCAACATTTGGATATCCACAAATTAATAATGTTCTGGTATTTGGATCTATTGAAGGTAACCGAGCCAAGTGTTGTCGAACTTGTTCCAAATACAAAAGGCTATCTTTTTGACGTTTCATAATGGTAGCCATTCTATCAAATATATAAAAAAAGATGAGATTAATTCTGCCATTTTCATTGGTTATTTTTAAAATAATTAAAACATACCTTCCAAGAGCTGCTTTTTTTAATTGTTTGCAACGATATAATGAATCACCAAATTTTAATAGGCGGACATATTCTTTGCCAACTTGATCAATTAGATGACGTGCACCATTAATTTGACCTAAGGCCAATTTATAATGATCTTTATCATATAATACATTCATTAAATCTGAATAAAAAGGATGAATATCCTAATATAAAAAATATGGCGAACAAAGATAAATTTCCCAAAAAAAATTATTTATATAAGATATTAATAAAACCCTACATCAAGTTTTGGAAATTCTTCAAGAATGGCTTTCAATCTTTCATCAAAACTATCTTGAGTAAATTTGACTTTACGCATATAAAATTGTCTTATTCGCCCAATTTTATACTGTTTATGAATTACAGTTGGAGTTTTCCTCTGCGTTTTCGAAAGCACGATATCCAAAAAATCATTGGCCGTAGGAATCGGCTGAATCCGTTTAAAATTATATAAAGCCATGATACGTATAAAACGTTAAAAAAAAGCATTCGAAAAAAATTTTTTGATTTTAAAAGAAAATTAAGTTACACAGTATCAGACGGATTCGATTGGTTCATCAAATCCATAAGCGATGATCGACATGAGCACCCCAAATTTTCTTTTAGAAGATATTTGAAAATTTTCTAACTTTGAGAGAAAATAACTCGGCAACCACCCATCAAATTCGACAATGTTTTTTTTTTACAGAACTTGTAGAATAAAAAAGAAAAAAATTACCGAATTTGGTTGGGTGGTTAATGAGTTATCTTTATTCAAAGTCTTAGAAAATTTAAAACGTCTATAGATACAAAAAACTTTGTTAACTTTGAACGAAGATAACTCGGCAACCACTAAATTTATCTTAATTCTACAGAAATGTGAAATAAAAATAATAAAAAATTTCATTAATTTTGATTAAATATTTTCTGCTATTTTCGTTCAAAGTTTTACTTAAGTTTTTTGTATCTATAGATGTTTTAAATTTTCTAAGAATTAAGGTCTGGCGATCTTAGTGTAGTGGTTAGGTTGCCAGACCGCCATGCAAGAGGTCTGGGGTTCAAATCCCAC